TTATGTAGCTAATAAAGCTTCACCGGAATCGTATATATATCTATGTAATATACTAATATATATATATATATATTATATAATTGTTTTCAATTTCTCTACGACCATATTTACTGATTTCCACAACAGACGAGTAATTGCAGGTCGGTTAACATCGGTGTAGCAGACGTTCAATCACTGAATTTTCGTCATCGATTTCTTCTTACACCAACCGTAGCTCGTAGGTACTAAGTGTAAGTCTGCAACTAGTAATTATTATAGCTCCTAATTTAATATAGGAAAACTATAAAGCATAAGGAGTACCTACTAAAAGGAAACCAATTTTATCATAGGTGCAACTAAGGGCCATTAACTAAGTGCTAGCAGGCAGATAGAGGAGTTTTAGCATCCTCGCAAGAACAAAATTTAATTAGATTTTTAAATTGTATTATTCCATATGTCCGCATGAACACAAACATTATTGTTTAGTGCTTTGAAATGTTTTAATTATAATTTAGAAAATTGTATATTTAATAATAAATAATAAGTAATGTTATTGTTTTCTAGTTTTATACTTTTAAGTTATAACTTATAAATACTAAGTACCTAGTCTGAATTGGAATAGGTAGGTACAACTATTAATGTTAATTATTATATTATATGTGAGTAATTGCTTATTATTATAATAATTATATTATGCAAACACAAATTTATAATATCGTATTTTGGTATAACTCTATAAGTTATCTACTGCAATTGCAGCATATGATTAGAGTATAAGGTTTGTGAAACCATAGGACGCGCTACTGCAGTTATATGGATCTCAAACCTTGAAATCTATATAATAATATATAAGAAATTCAAAAATTCAAACTACAAATTATACCAAATAATACTGCAATACCTAGGAGCATTAACATTACTGTGTATTTTAAACTTCGTTTAATACGATATGTATACGTGATACGATACTTGTGGTAATATAAAAGTATATAACTAACGTATATAACTATATAAATATAAGTATATAACTAACGTATATAACTATATAAGTATATAATATCGTTGGCGGCAAAGCGATAAATTACGTATTATAATAATAATCCATAGAAAAGATTCCGATGGAAATTCTAATCAATGAGTTTTCTCGCTCTTTCTTTTGTAGACTATATATATAATATATATACACGACATATATACGTACTATATAATATTCTGTAGGTGAGTACAATATTGTACAAAGGCACCTCTGCCCTCCGAATCGCTTTATGTTCTCTCACATTTTCCGAATACACTGTTATATTCTCCTTGGCTATCGGACCCGAAACATGACCGCGGGGGCGATATTATGGACGTGTGTGTGTGGGTATAATACGCTCGCGGCGCATTCGTTTTGTTTGCAATCTCTGTGCGGCGGTGGTGTATTCGGTCTGCTGGCGCACGCGCGAGCACATCCATAAACCCCGTTCCGTGTGTATTTTTATCCAGTTTTTTGTGCGCCTGCAGTATAACGCGGTTACCCTTTTTACCGCACATATATATAATAATATATAGGTTTGTATATTTTTATTTTAAAATACACCCCCCCCCCCCGAAAACGAGGGCGGAAGACGGACGGACGGAAGGGCGGCCCGCGAAAGAGTAATGGATGCGCGGCTGCGGTTGTTTGCTTTTTGAACGAGCGACGGCGGCGGCGGTCGAGTTTATCTATAAACCGGCAACAATAAATCGCTCGGCGGCGGCGGTGGCGTCCCTCGTCGTAAATTAGAGACCGCGGCGGCACGGTCGTGTCCAAAGTTTGATAACGTTTTGATAACACAATTATTCGAATACGCTGCAGCATGTACAATGTACATTGCACGGCGAGGGAATCGATATCTCTGCGTATATCGTATATTATGTAAGCTATATCATATATATAAATATTAGGAGCTGATGCTGCTGCCAACTATATATATATATAAATAAGTATATATAATATATATGTATGAGTGTGGGTGTGCGCGCGTGTGTATATAACAGCAGTATACGTATATTATACAGAGGAAGAATAGAGATATCGCTCGACAAATGGTACGACGTCTATCTAGCGATGTGTATACGAGCAATATATGTATAGAATATAATATATAACGTACGTGTATTTTCGATATTGAATTTTTGAAGCTGTAATACATTATATTATGTATGTATATAACATATATAGGTACTATAATATATTGTATATACTATATAGTACATATATCGTGCGACCTGCTCGTGTAATAAATTATGTCATATATATAATATACAATGTGGTTATGGCTATATATAGGTGCAAGCGGTGGCGAGTTCACGATGGTGTAGGCTTGATGTTCGGTAGCTTATCGGATTAATATAATATCAAGTATTTGATGATAACTCGTTATACTTATTACCTAATATAATAGGTCTAGGACGGGTGGACTGAAGCTACTGAAGCTATTGATGATGTCAACTCTTTAAGCGCCCGTGGAAAGGCGGAAGACGTATAGAGAGGGGTAAAGTTGAAGAACCCCTCCTTCTTAGAACCTTAAAAACTTATATAGGTATATTATACTATTCTAAAGATATAACTTTCATGTTTATAGTTAATTAATTGTAAAAATAAATAATAGTAATAATAATAATTACTTGGTAGTTGGTATTGTATTTAGTATTATGTAATATTGTGTTTTTTATGATTTAACATCATACCATGGTGAAATACTAATTAATTTAAAAACAAAAAAAAATTTATTTTTACACAGACTTGAATAATTTGTATACATTTTAATATCGGTTGTACCTAATGTCTATTCGAAGAGATGGCTCTGGGAAGATCATAAATTTCTATATTGGAATAACTAATAAGTACATGGGTGAATGGTAACAATTTCTCATACCCGAAGTCGGAAAAATAAAGTAATGACTTGTGCCGATTCTGGATGCCAAAATCCTAAATACAATATTTCAATGTGTATATAAATCCACCCTCACTGCAGTGAAAAGGAAACGACTCACTAAGTAAACACAAACACCCCTGTCCCATATATATGGTCTTCGGTTATTTAAGTATTGCACATTTATGTTTTGTGTTATAAATTAAACTTTTTACAGTTTTGCCAGTTTTTCATAAAACATTAAATATATACAGCAGGTCATAATAAATAATAATTTAATAAGTAGGTACCTATATAGGCACCCGATACACTCATTTCAATGGGTTGCCTTGTAACAACTTCACGTAAACAAATTATTTTTGATCATTCGTGCCAGTATAAATATGTAATTTACGTTTAATAATAATAACGTGTCGACATTGTGGAATAGTGCGTTTGCCAGCTTTAGAACTTGTGAAAGTGAAACTATAATTGAATATTATGAAGGGCTCGTTTTTCATATTTTTTTTTTCATATTCTATAAGTAGCCAGTAGGTGTGTACCATATTATGTCAATGGTGTGTACAATACGTTGAGTTCTACATTATTCTTTGACATTCATAAAATCTTCTTCTCACGACTCCCGTGTTCCACACTACCGTAATTATATTCTGTAGTATGATATCTTCTCTACATCGTGGTAGTCATAGATAATAATAATCTATGGTGGTAGTATCGTATTATTAATATTACCCACGGACTAATATTATATTATTACGGTGGAATAAAATTGGTACCGTCACTGTTATATTGTGTTGTACGGTAAGTATTGCGGTGCATGGTCACACTGTAAGAGAAATCGATAGTCGACGTAACCGGGCGGTGCCGCTTGTACAGAATTCCGGATAGTCACTGACACAGATAACCTTATCGTCCCGATTCGTACGGTCCTTAAACACGTGTTAAGAGCTTAAAATTTTTTTGTTACTCTTGTCGGTTATAACTTTAATACATTATTTTATAAAAACAGTTCTTTCATCGAAGCGGTCAGTTGTAATATGTTGATTTCGAAAGCATGAAATTGAATCACTTCCAGAAAGTCTTCATTGGATGGTAAGTCGTTTATACTTTATATTAACATTACCTTAGTACCTGCACATAGTATTATATTATATTATTATCATTGTCTATAATCATATTATTATATTAGGTAGTTCGATTATGTATCCATATTGAATTGTATGTATAAAATAAGTTAATTGGGTAGGATATCTTTCACACATATTTTTAATCAATTTTGAATAAATTTTGAACAGTACGATTGTTATCAATATCAAAGTATAGATACAGTGATAACATAATAATATTGTATTGATATACCTACACAAAATTCTAATTAAATATAAATTATTTCTTAAATTTCAATAGCTAATTTATATAATAACATCTTGGATCATTTACCTACTAGCTACTAGGTGTAAAACAGTATATTTATCTATAAAATTCCAAACTCTATTTGTAAACCTATGTTTTTAATAACAAAATATTATTTCACCTTATTTTATTTTAATTTCAAGATAATATTTTATTACTTACTGAAATTAATAAAAACGTATTTGGCTTATGTTAATAATAACAAGTAATAATGCTAAAAATGTAGAAAATACTTTGAATAATAGGTATTAATTAAAACAAAAATATGAATAATATTTTAAAGTAAATTAGTTGTAAAACATTTAACATTACATTTTAAAATCTATAAAATTCTGTAATAATATATATGCTCGGTTATTTTTATCATAGAGAAAATATACCATTGTATTAGATTGCCTCTTATTCATTATGGTACCTATTAATTAAAACTTTAACTGTACCTAACAATATTTTATTGTGACAATTGTATACCCTTTTAATATAATATTGAATTATTAATATCTTGTGGAAGTTATATTTTGTTTTTTTTTCTAGGTCAATTGTTATTACTGGTGGTCTTTATTCATTTGTCCTATCAAAGCGATATGTCGATTCCAAGCGTTATGATAGTATGAAAGCTAGAGAACGTATACGACTATCAAACATAGGAGAATACGATCCGAGTTCAAGGAAATTCTAATTACATCTTTCTGAAAAAATACCAATACAATCATGGCTGGAACACAAGTACAAATACCACAGAACCTCACTACCTTGCAACAAGTAGAATTAGACATGATGGCTGATATGTATGGTCGTATGACCGAGACATGCCGAAAGAAATGTGTCAAGCCAGAACATAAGGCGGGTGAACTGAATAAAGGAGAAAGTGTATGTTTGGATCGATGCATTGTCAAATATTTCCAAATGCATGAAAATGTCGGCAAAAATTTAAGACTTGATTTTAATGCCAAATAATTATATACATAGTACTATTTTTAGTGAAGCTCATACTATTATGGAAAAAAAATGTATTTAAATTTCTTAAGTATAAGATCTAATTGATTATAAGTCAGATTGAATAGTTGAGCTAGATTAAATTGTTTATTTTATATTGTTCTAAACTGGTCAGCATAATAAATGTAGATATCTAATAGAGTCTTAGATATTATATTAGTATTCAAATTATCTATGAGTTATAATAAAGGGATAAACTTAACAATATATTGTTATTTATTTTAGAGTAAAATAATTACTATCTAATTAAATTGTTATGAAATTATTATTACTGCTATTTTAATTACTTAAAACATGTAGTGATGAGGAATATTGGTAAATGCGTCTTGTGTTCAAATTAATGTCATAAAACGTAAACTTCTGTTTGCTTCTATAGAATCACAATACACAAATTGTATTGTGACAAACTTCCGCTTACAATTGTGTCTGTGGATTTGGAAGACTCACTAATGACATAGGTTAAAATTATATGTATACTGGTAGAATCAAATATTCATTGTTATGTTTAATAATGGTACTTTGACTAAATGGAAATACAATTTGGTCACATTAACATATGCATTATTCAAGTTTTGGTATGATAACAAGTAAAGTAAACGCATGTTACTGTCTTTGGTCTGAACTACTTGTGTTTCAATGTAACTTACAAATAGTGAATAAATAAAAACTTTACATTGCTTCAGAAATCGAATAATGTTTAGTCTTTGGTGTTATGAGGACGTATTACACTTACATGTGTTGTCACCGTCTTACTAATATTATATAAAAGCAAACTTTATGTTCAAGAATAATCAATTTTACTCAGTAATTTCAAACATAAGTGAAATGACCTATTGTAAATGTAAAAATAAGAATATCACTTCTAAGAGAAGAATATTAAGTGCTAGTATCTCATAATAAGATGTGATTGTAAGGATTCTAAAATGCAATCTATCAATTAAGTACACTAACATATATCATATTAGTAACGTTGAATTAAATAAATTATGAAGATAAAATTACACATTTGGTAAATTTTATAAATGTCATGCTAATTTTACAAAATGTGTAATAATTTATGTTTGCCTTTTCCTAAATTATAATAAGATATTAAAATTATACATTTTAACAATTATTAGTATTTAGCTAATACATATTCCAGGATTCAAGTTGCAAACTTAATAAAATAAAAACAAACTTGCAAAATCCTATAAAAAAAATACATCAAATGTGATATAATATGTAAACATGACTTGTACTACTTAGGCGTTAAGCAAATTACAATTAGTAATTTAAAAAAAAAAATTGTTTATGTTTATAGTACTATTTTTATTTACAAGTCAAATGCTCTGTTTTTTTTTGCTTGCTGTTTTTCATTAACCTTTCAAAATCATATGACAACTTCCACAATTGACCCATCTATTTATCTAAAGGCTATAAAATATAATATCATTGGTATTAACTCACTTAAGTTGTGCTCTGTTTTTTTAAAAAAAAATTATAGTTTTTGGATATGTTTTAAATACTATGGCAATAAACGAAAAAAGTATTTTATAATTATCATTCGAAACGTATAACCGAGCTCGAAAAACTTTTTTTAGGCAGTATAAACACTTGTCAAACGCAATCCCTGGAGAAACGTTAAAAGTTTAGTCCCTTCGCCGCCCCAGTCACTTTTAGACATCGAAGTCACCGTTATTTTTTTTTTAAAAACGTTTTCTCTAAACATCGGTCCCCAGCCCGTCCACCACCAACGCGTTTCCATTTTGGTCAATTTACCCGGACAGTAGGTCCTATTCTTCTTATTCAGGGTTGATTTATTCTACGTTTTTTTATTTTTTATTAGATAGGGAAAAAATTCTGAACTACATTAAAGGTTTTAAAGTTTAGCTCTAAAAAAAAAAAAAACACCCAATTGCTACATGTACCGCCGTGTATCTGTCTGTCTGTTATTGTTCTTTAAAGAATAACCAAAATCGACCGACCGTTTAGAATTATTACGGCAGTATAATCTGCTGCTTTTTTCCATTCTGTTTAATTAAAATTATGGTCCGAATTCAAATCGTTATTAGTTCGCCGTGCATATAATAATATAATGTATACTATAAAAGTCGTTGCGTTTAAATACAATTACTTCGCGTAACAGACATTTCCCTAATGACCTAAGACATTAATTTCTTATTTAAGACGTACGTTACTCTCCAGAAGAAAAAAAAAGATATATATATATATAGAGAGAGAGAGAGAGACAGAGAGAGAAGTATACTTATATATATAAGAAGAAAGTTCACTCCTTTTTCGCATAATAAAATGTTCATTAAGATGCTAATGAATGGATGAAAATAATTAAATTCAGCAGGAACAAAATAAATATATATATATATAGTAAGTACCTATGGGCTCTCAAGTATATAATAGTAGGTTTATATATAGGTATATAAAATGTATTATACATAGTCATACTTCGACTTGTACTTACCGGCACGTTCTTTTTATGTTATTATTTTCGAAGAAACTGCGCTTCAAACAAAGTTTGATGGAGAGCGTCTATATTATTGTTGTGTAGGTAGGTAGATAGGTATACGATGAAAATAAAAACTAAAATTGTTACAGCCTATCCGATGACCTATATTATTATTTTTGTTATTTATTAAATACCCACCTTATATTGCTACGCCTACGTAAATGATAGCATCTTGTAACTTTTTTTTATTGAACTTAAGTCCAGCTACTGTGGCCATTAGCTGTTGTAGGGGTTATGAACTGTGATTGGTAAGGTGTTGTATCTGTTGTTACGGTAGGTAAGCAACACGTGTGGCAAAGTTTTAACTACTACGAACACCCGGGTGGTCACCCATCCGGAAGCTAGTAACTCTGGACGTTATCTCCTCTCGGTGACATACTCCATACTCGCATATTATAAGACGTTATACTGTTATAGGCTGTAGCTTTATAAACGTGACGAGCCTTCATCGATATAGCCACTCGCGGGCAAACTGAACTTAGGACTTAGGTATATAGCCATATATATAGATACCACGGTCGTTATTGTACATACCTATCTATTGTATATATATACTTACCTGAAATTATGATCATAATTATTGTAAAAAGGCCGGGGAAATGTCGGACCGTCTATATACAATTATATATATACCTATATAGACGATCTGACATATATATGTGTTGTGTTCGCTGGTGTTTCCGATTTTTCGTTTAAACGGCTCTTCCTGTTCCATATACCTACTGCAGTCACCTCCAAAGTTATTGCTGTAATAAATTATTGCCATCGGTTATCGCAAGCGCATATATTATAAATAGGTATTATTATAATATAATATGTACCATAGATATATTATGCAAGTATGCAACACAACAATACAATTATTACCACGCTTTAGATGGGATCGACAAAGGCGACAGCAGCATTTCTGTCGTAAGTACATATAGGTATAATATTATAATAATATATACAACGCACACAAATGTCATATTATACAATGAATGCGTGGAAAATCATAGCGGAAGTCATCGAAATTCGATTTGATTTCCGGTGGCGTGTGTACCGACAGTTTTACACGCGGAAAAAAGAAACTTCCGACATGTAATTTAATAATAATATATGGATGTGTGCGTGTGTGTCGTCGACTGTCGACATGTCGAATCCAAATATATTTCAATAATATAATATCGTAACGATCGTTCAATTACACAATAAACAGCCTTCTATCGAGGTGAACATTCTTCAATTTGTCCCAAAATTTAATAGGAATATAGGATGTGTATGTGTATTATATTATATTATGATAGATCGCTGCAGGCACGAGTATAATAATATTGTACCTAATACCTACCCTTTTTATAGCAGGTTATTTTTTAAGTCGACAAATATTTATTGTTTCGATGACATAATACTGACGATAGTCGAGAATATGTTTAGAATTGAAAAGTAATATTTGATATATCAAATATCAATGCGACAATGCCGTACTATATGTACGTACGAATTAAAATATATTTTAATTTTTGGTATGTACCTATCGGTGACGGATTTAGGGGGGGGGGGGCGTGTTAGGGGCCCAGCCCCCCAAAGATATTATTTATCCAATTTTCATAGGGAAATTTACATAAACATTGACCTTATAATTAACCGTTTTCGAAAAATCTACGAGGTGAAAAGACGTTTGGATTTTGTTGCATAATATATTATAACCATCAATTGATTTACTACCTACATTTAAAATATACTAATATTTTGAAAATGTATAATTTATATAGGCAACCAACAATAAAGACAAGACGACGTCACGAGTACCTATACATTTAATCTTATGCAATGCAGTATATGCACCACAGGCAGAACTACGGGGTGTGCCGGGTGTGCCTTGGCACATCCTAATGTAAAATAAAATGAATTACCTAATAACATCTAATAATATTTATACATATTAATTGAATTTCAGTTTTCTATTAGTAAAACTGAAAGTGTTCAGAATAATTCTCTAAAACAATAATTGCATGTATTATTACCAATTGTCTAGACTTAAAATCATTTCATCATATTTGTTTATTGGCCATCATTACTTCTTAAATTGAATGCAATGTTATTGTAGTTGACATGAAAACTTCGATATAATATTATAAAGGTCGTCGCCAGACGGTGATAATAATTTCCAGCGAAAAAATATTGCCTATTTTAGGAAACCGATACCGCGCTGTATCGATGGTTAAGAAATAAAACTTTGGTAGTTTCAAGTTTGGTATTTCATTTGATGTGATGTCGTCATTCGAGCAAATCACAGACATCATAATTTATTATTTATATTATCGTCAACTTTGTGTAAAACAAGTAACAACCACCTATGTCGAACAGGAATTAACTGTTAATGTAGAAGCTTCTGAAGGTTATAGAAGAATTTAAAAGTTTTGTGCTATTTCAAAAGCGATTGTTACTATAAAATATAAATTAATACAATAAATCTGTATCATATAAATAAATTATACTGGTGTTGTTTCAGTTTATTTAGTAATAAATATAAAATAATGATTTATTAATTAATATATTATAATATCAAACAATAAATTATCATAAGTAATGTCTACTTATATATTACATATACTATTATTATAAGCCAATAGGAATATAGGTAAATATTATATTATACAATGGGTTAGAGTATTGGTTAGAGCACAATGGCTGGATACTTAAAATATATTATTAACTTTAGTGTATTTTATATACTGTCCTATGGTAGACATTTATGAGGTAAAAAAATTCATATTGCGGGTTAATTTGTCTATAGCCTCAGCTGTGGATTATAAAAAAACAACTAGAAAAAATGGCCGGGCACACTCAAAAGTAAAACCCTGGGTCCGCCTATGATATGCACAATAACACAAGGCGATGCACATGCGCGAACTAGGACGAAAACGCGGTTCGAGTTGATCATACTTCTTATTTCTTATTTCTTACCTATATAATATAAGTATTTCGGTAGCAATAAAATCGAATTAGCTGCATTACGACATTGCGGTATCGCAATAATATTAATAGATGATCAATTCATCGAAACAATTTTGAATATCTTATATTCAATAGTATTTTGTGAAGTGAAAATTAGAAAAATAATGACTGTTGAAAAGCATATAATATGTATTTGTAAAAAATGTACGTACCATATATCGCCATCTTAATGAAAATATTAATGGCGTGGTGCTCACGAAATATAAAGATACAAAAAATAAAAATATGTGTACCAGTTTGACTATATTATTATATTATATTATACGCGTAAGGCTGTATGGAATTATGGAAGACACACCAACAATATTATATTATTACTAACCATATTATAGACAAATATTTATGGTATTTATATAGGTAATAAGTAATAACCATAGTCTTATACTAATATTACTTCACATGTTTATACTTTATAGGTACCTATGCCTATAACCATGAAGACTAGAGATATCCCTAGTCTTCATGCCTATAACAATCAAGGGCGCACCCAAGGGGGTGGCTAACGGGCTTTAGCCCCCCCCCCCAAATGGCTAGCCCCAAACATTTTGATAATTTTATTAGGTTTATTGACAAATTGACATTTTACTTTAAATTGTTATAAAAAAAAAATTATCAACTATCGAAATTGAAACAATAGACATAACATAATATTATATTATATCATTGATTTTATAATTTTATAAAATGTATTCCTGTCATTCCGGGCCCCGGGAGAGACCTCTGTTGTCTATTATTATAGACTACGGCGACACTTAAAACCGGGACAAAAATAAAAAAAATTTGTTAGTAAAAGATTGTAAAAAAGCTTAAAGATTTCTGTACATATTTCAAAATAAATACTACCTATTAATATTAAAATTATGTGAATTTAGCCCTCCCCAAAAAAAAATCCTGGGTGCGCCCCTGATAACAATGGCTAATTAGATCGTAATATTATTATAATAGGAATAAAATAATACATTATTATGATATGATTTATTACCTATACGTACAAGTGTACCTACCTAAACATAACGGGAGACTCGGTCCCCGCGGTGTTTTTTCCTTTTCGCCATATAATTCACCTTGGCGAGTATACCGCTACCAGTATACCACTACCAGCTGCTACAACTGTCTCGCGCACAAGTCACAAACTTAAAACCCTCTCTCGCGGCCGCCGCCGTGGCGAACGAAGTCCGCGGAGGTTATTTTATTTTTATTCGCGTGCGTGAGTGTGTGTGATGTGCGAGTGTGCGTGCTCAATTGACTGCGCCCGCGGTTCCCCGGGGAAATCAGGTGCCGCGAAATGAGGTAAATGAGATTACGGACCACGTGAGGGGGGGGCAGAGCAGAGGAGATGGTCGAAAATTGTGTGTGTGTGTGCTGCAGAGTTTTCCAGAATTCGTTTCGGACGCCTGGTACCTAGGTATATATATACGATAATAGCGTATACCTATATACGTATATTTATTATTATAGCGTTATGGCCGCCGACACCGTTTAATTATTGTTTTTCCATACCAACGATAATATTATATTTTCTTTTTTATTCATTCGGGTTAATCGATTTTTAAAAAGGCCAAACGGTAGGTATACGATTTTCATGCTACTGCATAGCTACAAGCACTAACTACTACCTTTACGTTGCAACTTGTAGGACGTAGGTATACTAATACCAAATTATTATAGTATATAAAAACGACTCATGGCGTGTGTGACAAAACCGTTGACGATTACCGATAAAAATGTATTTCTCATACGACCCCTTATTGATGATACATATTTTCACTCGTCAATCATGCTCACCCTCAAAATTCTTTTTAATAATGAATTTATTCTATTTAACTTAGATATTTTATTAGTAGTTTCTAAGTTATTAAAATGCATAGGTGCATCTATGTATCAAAGATAATAATTTTTAAAAATCATTTAACAACAATATAAAAATATGATATAAACTAACCTATTTAAAGTAGTGATGCAGTGGAGTGTATAGAGAGTTCAAGTATTACTCGCTGCAGGCAACGCCTTAAGTATTAGTGCATGGATATTGGGTATTGATAAAAGGAAAATAGGAAATTTTATCTGTAGGTATAGCAATATTATGAGGAGCGTAGGTCGCCTAAAATTAAGACTTCTTTTGATACACGCCACTGGTAATGATTGTTAAACTAGGACAATACAAAATCATAAAATGTTAATATAGATAGGTTGAATAATCTTCAATAGTCACATTAATTAGTAATTACCATAATTTTGAAATCATCATAATATTATAAATGAACATGCTCGGTAAATCACCCTGTATAATATACAATGGTTGTTCCTAAATGAAATATCATCTCAAACAGAATATTATATAGGAACCTATAGTATATACCTACACCATACAGAGATATTAAGATATCTGCATACGTATATATGAGATACATCCTACATCTATCTATATAAAAATGAATGTATGTCAGTGTGTGTGTCTGTGTGTCCATGTTACCATGGTTACCAAGGTTGTCATGGTTACTAAGGTTACCAAGATTTCATATCAATCTATATATATAAAAATGAATGTATGTCAGTGTGTGTGTGTGTGTGTGTGTCCATATTACCATGGCAACCATATCTGTATATAAAAAACAGTAAGCTGATTGACTGCTATCAACGCACAGCTCAAACCATTGGACGGATCTGGCTGAAATTTGGCATACAGATAGCTATTATAATATAGACGTGCGCTAAGAAAGGATTTGCCAAAATTCGCATTTTAAATAGGTGCTGAAACAGGGACATTGAGATTCACGATAGAAATTGGAAATTTTATTTTTATTTATTTATAGTTGCCATTGGTTACAGTCTACATTAGAAATTAGCATTTATTTATTGGTTGCCATTGGTTATTCGGGCAGATCAGGTACAAGCTTGCATCAAATCGAATTATTGAACAATGCTTACCAGGGTGGCAGAGTTGCACTTACCGCAGAAAATTACACCCAAAAGGAGTTCAACAATCATAATTTTTTTAAGAGTTGCGATTTTTTACGAGCAACCAAATTTATTATATTAATCCACAGTATTACATCAAAATAAACTTGGTATAACTTTGATACTTTAGAGTTAAATCATACACTTCCGTACAAACAGCACGGGGTCCGCGATCTACCGCAGGTAGATTGCCTACCTGATAATGTACTGCTGCGATTCAGAATTTTTATTCAGGGCAACGGGAAAGATAAGATAAATTTTGAACACCATACACGTTAATGAATTGAACAAAGTTTGAGTAGGTAGTATTGAGTTGATCCATTTAACGGGCGACGAAGTGCACGGGATCAGCTAGTATATATATATTATATTATTTATAAAACCATTAAAACCTGCGGACAACGCAGTGTTCGACGTCCGTGTACCTATATTATTATTTACTATTTTATGAATAGAATCGATTTGAAAAACTGTATATAATATATACGGTGTCTCGAAACTTATTATTTAGAAAGCACATATTATTACGGTTATGACGTATTTACTTTGTGTTTCCCAGAAAAAGTGCACCAGGTCAAATGTCGGTTTAAATTTACTATCGTTTGAGTGATTCGCCGACGCCGTTACATTGAGTAGATATTAATGGTTTATATTTTTTGTAGGAAAGGCAAACGTCACGTGTTCGGAAAACGAATTTCAATGTAGAAACGGACACTGTATAGCGCTCCACTGGCAATGCGATAACGAATCAGATTGCAAAGACGGTAGCGACGAAGACCCCAAAATATGCCGTAAGTACCTGTACCTATTACTCACCAATAATATTATTATAATGACGTACATTAAAATAATATTGCACAACATTATAAAGACGATAATATAACGCATCGACGACTACAAACAGGGGTTACGGGTACTATAATATTATACTAATATTATGTACCCATCTGATGTTTAGACGCAGAAAAAATACTGAAACCCCAAAAAATCGTTTCAATTTTAAGTTATAATTTATTCTGGACGAATAAAATAATATATTACGCTGAAGAAAATCTATAGGTACCTCTCTGATCGATTAACTTTCCATAGTGTTATCATTGATTATAAATAAATTACAAATCACCATTTATAATCAACGCTTCTGTATATAAATTAAGTTATTATTATGTATATCGTATAAATCTACATAAAACCAATTATACGTTTTAAATGTTGACAACTACCCATTCCTGTGCTGGGCACTCGTCTACTGAATTCGTTCACCTCATCACAGACTAGGATATTGTGTAGGTACATTGGAATTTTTAAATTTTTTTCTTCATCTGTTATCGTTTCAAGACTATAAATCCTTAATTTTTGTACGTACAATTTTATTTTTAGCAGTTTTTTTCAAAAGTTACTTTGAAATCCTTAACACTATACCATAGTCAGGTTAGGTTTTTATATCGTTAAAAGTAGAATACATATTAATATAATCTATTCCTCATATTTATAAAATGTAGTTTGTAAATTTATAATGCCTTAATAAGTTTATCCGAAATATCAAATAACACATAATATTAGATATTATACATTAATATATAATTATAATTATAAAATGTTAAGTTTTTATTTCAAACGAGATGATGACTTATTAATAAATAAATAATATTAGGTGTATAAATTGTTTTAAATGCAAATACATCTACTTATAAATAATATATTCTATTTCAACCGGTGTAGGATCGAAACGAATACCTTATAAATTCATGGTATAATTTAATTGGCATGTCAGTATATGTAGTACCTATATATATTGTAATAAAATTGCCATAATATTGGTAAAAACGTAATAGCAGTTGACTTAAAAATACATACTCTTAAAGTCTTAAAACTCAGTTCTTTGCATCATACACAGAATTGAAGAACACTATATTTACATGGACTATGACATTGTTATATCAGTAACGACGTAAGGTCGCATGAGTGTGCTTTTAAACCGAGCTGTTAGGCAGGGTATATAACTTATTACTGTGTACATAAAATAAAGATATAAATATATAATACAATTAGACAATATAATAGTAGTAAATAAAGGTATTGTAATATATTTTCATTTACAATAAGTTTTTTTAAATATATATTTTATAGACTTCTTAATTTATTTAGGTACCTATATATTCACTTTAATAATTATTCCATTTTTTTCCTACCCACTATTTTCCATTATAATAGTATGGTTATTACTCATTATTGGCCTATCATAATAGGTAGGTACATATTATATTATAACTATAATGTATTTTCTTCCCAAGATAATGTTACCTATACTTCTTTTTATTAAATCTTATCTGGATGTTATATATGTATATTAAGTACATATTCTAATATTCTATTATATTTCTGAGCACAAAACTAATCTACCTTTTTTCCAAAAATTTATATTTTTTTCTTTGAAATACCTAACGTTTTTGCAATGAAAAATCCATTAAGCCTTTAATCCCTTCTTTTATAATATTTTACAGTATTTCGTTGATATTTTTCTGAGATATAAATTTCAAACGTAATCACAAAAATATTAAACAACAACCGGGTAGTTGCGTGTGTGATTATTATTTTTCATTTTTAATGCTCCATTGAAAACAATTCTTAGGTTTATTTTATTACCAGCTTTATAGTTAAACGTTCTTTTCAACTACCGACCTATATACTTTTCTGAATACACACAATTTTAACCAAATTATTATTTTTTATTGGACGTAATTTTTTATGCGCAGTAAAGAGTTAAATCTCGTGTTATTTTTAACGGTTTTTATTAATTCTAATTTGTAATGTTTTAAAAAAAAAAATGTTTTATTATAAGTAATGTAATGTGTAATGTGCGTTACTCTATCTTTACACTCAAAGTTTAACCATATATTTCATTTATCATGATTGTTTATTTTAGCTACATTTATCACAACTTAACCATTTATCAATGTGCGTAAATATAGATAAAAAAGATATTCCCCCCCTAAAAACAATTTTATAATTTGAAACTGTTGTAGTTTGTGAGTTTGTGACTCCAAACACGTTTTGACTTTCATCGCAATGGTTGATAAAATTATGACAGGTTTTATTTACTTTTGTTTTTATACGTTATTCTCAAAGCGTCCTTCACCGCGTTCGTGACTGTATAGGTAACTGTATAAGAATCGAATGTTTTGGAGAGGACTAACCTACTTGAAAATATTGAGTTATTTTTTTTCTTGTGCTTACACTTCCCTTTATTTTCCAATTGAAACCTAATACGGCAATTTCCAATTGTTGTCCTCAACAACGATATAATTGTTGCAAACAAAAAGCCTTTATAATACTAAAACGGTTTCTTCTGTGCGGGTTGGTTACTGATATTTTTGCTACTCAATTTTCAGCACTCAACACTACTGGAAAGTTTAGAATTCAATATCATTTTACCACTTGAGAATAAAGTTCTATACCTGTGTATAATAATATTAATATTAGTTAATTTAATGGGTCGTACTAATTATGCGCAGGTGTATTTTCCCCTTGTGCATTTATAACATTCCAAACATTTTTCTCTTACCTGGTCCCTCTAGCTCAGTGGTTCCCAACCTTTTTACCACCACGGACCACTTCCACAATATTTTATAGGTCGCGGACCACCTCAATTTTTACGTAAACTAGGAAGACCTTTTTTTTTTTTACAAGAATACAAAAAATTTAAATTTTTATCATTTTACTTTACTTTTTATTACTATACTATTATATATTATAATTCTACTACTTTACTATACAAAATAATTTAATTTGGTAAAAATTTTACATTTATTAACAATTCAACACAAATTACTATAATAAAAAAAATGGGTATCATACTATTATTTTTATAAAAGGCAAATTTAATTATAAAAACAAGTTAATGTGATTTTTGCGCTTGCATTTCCTTTACTAACAAAGATATTCTTGGGGTAATATTGCTCAAAGCTACACGCATGTCTTTAGTGGCGTCCAGCCGATTTCTTTGTTTGTTTTTAATGTAGAGCAGTGCGGAAAATCCTTGTTCGCACATATAAGTTGTTGAAAACATGACTAAATATCTTAGTGCGATTTTTCGAAGCTTAGGATACGTAATTGCTTTTTTACACCAAAACTCTTCGATATTCATGGAAGATTCAAACGTATCCTTACAGTTTCGATCATTTTGTAACTCTATCAAATCTTCCTGGATATCATCATCCACCTCATCAACTTTGACAATAAAAGGGTTTCGAATCATACTTCGGACACCTTTCGTTTCATAACCATTATATTCTGGGAAATACCGGTTAAATTCATCTTTAAGTTTATGCAGATGGTGTAAAACATTTTGATGGACCTCAGGCACGAAGTCAGCATATTTTTCGTTGTCGACGATGCTTTTTAGTGTTTGAAACGTTGAGTAGTTATTCATCTCAACTTTACTTATCCATAAATTAATTTTACAAATAAATGCGCGAAGTTTATCTTCAAATATAAATATATTTGCAGCGCCTTCCAATTTATGATTTCCGGAGCCTTGTAATTGTAAATTAAGCTTGTTTAAATGCTCAAAGATATCGACAAGATAAGCCAAGTGCATTTCGAACTTATGATCACAAACACATTTCAATAAATCGATCATTTTTTTCTCAGTTAAAAACACTGTCACCTCCTCCTTAAGTGAAAATAATCGTGCCAACATGTTTCCTTTCGAAAGCCATCGGACTTCGGTATGAAAAAGCAAAGTTTCATATTCAGAATCCAAGTCCAAGCATATTTTTTTAAAAATGCGAGTATTTAGTGCACTACTTTTGATAGCGTTCACCATTTTTACGGACTGTTTTAAAGTATATATGAGTTCTTCAGGTAATGTTTTTGAAGCTAATGCTTGTCGATGAATTACACAATGCGTTGTCAATGCTGAACAGTTTTTTTCTTTAACCAACGTTGCTAGGCCCGAACGTGATCCTAGCATAGCTGGAGCTCCATCCGTACAAAAACCTGCAAGCTTTTCCCACATAATGTCGTGCTTTTCAAAATATTCATTAATTATCTTCATTACATCACTTCCTTTCGACGTAGTAACCAATTCCTGCAGTAACAAAAGCTCTTCTTTTATTGTGTTGTCATCGTCCAAAAATCTAACAAAAACCAGTAACTGACAACATTGCGAAACGTCAGTACTTTCATCACACTGCAATGCGTAAAAAGGTGAGTTTTTTATTTTTACCAATAATTGTTCTTCAATATCGAAAGATATTTTGTCAATGCGAGCTTTCACGGTGTTATTCGATAATGGAATTTCTTGTATTTTATTTTTAGCTTCCTCACCTAAAACTTCTTCAACAGCATTTAGTAAACAAGGTTTCAATAACTTTTCACCGATAGTGTGTGGTTTTTTTGATTTTGCGATTAATTGTGCAATTTTAAATGACGCAGATAGCACTTTTTCATTTAACTCGAATCTTGAACCACTTGTTCCAAGTTTCATTTTTTTCAAATTTTCTGACTTACCCATGAAAAATGCTGGTGGTCGATCACTCAATTTAGGATGGACAGTTTTTAAATGCCGTTCTAATTTAGCGGGTTTCAACGCATCATTACTAAGAACAGTGGAACATATAACACACTGTGGTCGAGTTTCATGGTTAGTTTCTATTGCAATAAATCCAAATTTGATATAGGAGTCGTCATATTTTCTTTTCGGAGCCATTTTATTTAATTTTAATATTAACACACGAACTATCAAAAAGAGGCAGAAACACAGACGTCGACTACGGAGTACGAATACAGAGCAACTAACAATAATTAATATTAAACTTTGTACATAGCTTGTTGTATTCTACCAATAATCTAATCTTGCTGTACAAACAAGATTAGATTATCGGTTGAAATAATACATACGGGACATAATGTAATATAAATTTATAAATAAACGACGTAATATACACGCGCCACGCCGTGGAATCGATGATAACGATTGTCGGTACATAATATTTTGACTGCCTCGCTTTTACGAATTAGACGTTATATAGTATATAATATAAAAAGCAAAAACAGCAAAAACAGTTACAAACTTTGTATCATGCCCCAAAGGAAAAATGAAATATTTTTAAATTTTGTAGGTATGGCTCGCGGACCACTTCACGATGTCTCGCGGACCACCGGTGGTCCGCGGACCATAGGTTGGGAACCACTGCTCTAGCCTAGCTGGACCCTGGACTTAAAATTGAAACTGTAAATTATCAGCATACGTGTATGCATTTATAAGAACAATATTTTTTAATTTTAATCTCAATACAATAGTTCATTATGCGTAGTTATCTACTATCTATACTCTGTAAACAATTCTCATCTAATAATTTTAGGGATGGTAGGTACATGATAACGAAACAAATTATATTGTTTGTTAACGAGAACTTAGGAATAACTACAATTTTACCGTATTATTTTTCAATCGTATAATCTCCGTTCGCCGATAGAAATTTGAATCGCACAAACCAAAACTCGTCGTACCCCACCAAAACAACCTACACCTATAGCCACATTATCTCACTGACGTGAGTATTCAGTATATAGATATATATTATATATATAGTCAATAAGTTCGAAATTGTATAAAAATAAATATGTCTAGGTATGTCCTTGTCAACACAGCAATAAAATATTTTATTTTTCTTAAAAAACGTCGACCTTATTGTACTGTTTCTTCTGAATTTATCTTTTTCGAATCTTATTTTGTACGATGTTTCCCGTTCAGACTTGGAAATATTGCACAAATAAGTCTTATATTATTTTTTGTATAATATATCATTCCTGTTAGATTGTATTACCTAACAAGGCTTAAGTTTTAAAAACTAGCGCATTATTATTATGCCATATTTTTTTTTAATTTAAAAGTTAAAAATGTAATTATTATCTTTTAAGCATAATAAGCAGGAATAATGGTGTAAACGATGAACTTTTTTATCTTTGTTATTAATTCTTACAATATAGGTACACGGTGATTCTTTAAACGCTAATCAAGTGAAAAATTATGTACAGTTTATTTAGGTACCTAAAATATATTCGTAATTTTTGTAAAATGAAAAAAAAGCCTTACAGAGATAGAATATAATTTATGTTCTTACTAATTTTGTTCATAAAAAAAAGTTTTATCGTAAATCATCTGTAAAATGGTAGTGCTTATTATACAAACCGTTTATTGCGCTGTTTTAAAGCCACACATATTATTGGTAGATAGATATAAGGTATACCTTATATCTAACCTAACCTATGGAATATAGATAGATCCGTTCGACTGTTAATCGTTTTCAATATTTAGGCATATTTACCACTTATTTTATTTTTTATTTTATTTTATTCGGTCAGAAATGAGAAACTCTATGAATCACATTTTACAGACAATAAGTCGAGTTTAACAATCAAAAACTCCAATTCGAACCAGAGTTGGGTTGTTTTATAGTTTACAAAACATTACCGACGTACAAAAAAAATACTTTTATAGCAGTGAGGTGAGTTCTACCTATAATACTACATACAAAAACACACGCAAACAATCAACCTATAAAATAATATAATGACATCCCGACAAAACACTTCGATTTCGTTTAACAATATTGTGCGTTATTATTATTGTTACGTAGGTACACAATTAAAATATATCCAATGTGAATATTATAAGTTATATTTTAGTAATATTAGTTATATTATAAATTTCATTCGTCACATTGCACTCTTATAATGATATATTATAATTTATTGAATATAAAAACATTTATTTGCAATATATACATTCCTACTAAATCAAAGTAACTCAATAACACACCCACACACACGCATAACACATGCATGCATGCATAGTCGAATAAATCATTCGACAATAATATATAATCATATTACAGTATTGTAGTTATCGAATCGTCATTGGCGTCCATCATTTACCACCATCATTATTTGCATGAATCTGTATACGAAAGTCTTGTTCTGTTTTGATTTCAGAGAAACGAGTGTGCAACACTGATGAGTTCACTTGTCGAAAGGCCAAAGGCGAGTGCATCCCGCTGACATGGATGTGCGATGGCAATCCCGATTGTTCGGATGGCTCCGACGAAAAAGAGTGCAGTAAGCGACTCTTTGGTTGATTTTTTTTTCATACTCCTCCCCTCTTATATCTTATAAGACGATTCGTTTTTACATATCATATCACATACTCATCACTGCCTTTTAATATATATTATATCATCATTATGTTAATGTTTGTATTTCGTTGTACGAATATAATATTATTATAAAATAGTAACACTGTCGATATTAGTATTTCTTCTCGGTGTCGGTTACAAATTACAATTTGTATTTGCTATTAAATATTAATATCTGCTAACTATATCGATATAATATTATTGTCTATTATATCATAACAATTATAATAATAATAATAATATATTCGTATTGTATAATACTAGGATATAATATAATATACCTACCTAACGTGTATATCATATTAAAATCGCCGCCGCTGATCATTGGTTTTTTTTATTATTATTATTTCACGTTCGTCCGTCCTCTGCAGATGAAACATGTAGAGACGATGAGTTTACGTGCGGCAACGGAAAGTGTATTCAAAAGATTTGGGTGTGCGACAGAGACGACGATTGTCAAGACGGCACGGACGAGCTCAACTGTCCCAACATCACATGTTCCGAGTCCGAATTCGCTTGCGTAAAAGACAACACTTGCATAACGTTGAACTGGCGTTGCGATGGCGACTTCGACTGTACCGACCAGACTGACGAAATCGTAAGTGATGACCGATGAGTGTACTTACATTTTTATAAGGTTAACTAAAAATTGTTTTCCTGAAATGACTACCAACATTGGTGTGCTGGTATAGGTTGCTCGACCTAGAAGAGAATTAATAATATGTATTCATATACTTCAGAATAGATAGGTATAGTCAATAATCATACGATATTTACAATCCTAATCGTCATATTATAAGATATTATAGGTTTTTTATTAATTATTATTATTATTATTTTTTTTTGAGGACTTGGCTTTTTTGAAAACCGTAGAAATATATAACTATAATTCTCAACATAAATATAAAAACGGAGTGGTTTGGTGTGGCGTGGTCCGTACATTCAACTGCGTAAATGCCATAAGTGTACGTATCGACCGAGACGGATGTAACTAGCTTCCGGATGGGTGACCACCCGGGATTTTTAGCTACAAATCCTTGCCACACATACAAACGTGTTTCGACCAACCGTTACTCCTCCCTCCCCCTACAGGTAACAAAAAAACAGCTAATGACCATAGTTGCCGGGCTGAAGCTCAATAAAAAAATAAAATACATAAAAACTATAATATATTCATTGAAATGTTTAAATAACAAATACATTTACTATATAAACATTTCGTACCTACCTACCCGCTATACTACGAGTTACATCAAAAACTGTAAAAAATTATAATTTGACACAAGAGTTTGTTTTAATATTCATTACGACGGTGGGGGACAACAATAATTATCATGATGGAATGGAATGAATAATTGGTATTCATTGTTATTATAAAACCTAAAAACAATTTTGTAGAGAATTACGACCAGCTATAAATATTATTATATTAGCGAGAGTGAACGCAATTGTTATGCTTATTTGAGTGTTAATTAAATATTAACATTATGAAAATTCTACGTACTATAAATTTAGGATTTGTACATTTTCGTTACAATGATTTCCGACCGCAAGTTCATAGCATTCAGCGCCCAACTTCATATTTGAAATTATTGTGTAAGTATATGAAGTAGGTAGGTGCTGTTCTTTTGATGTGTGCATAAGTTCTAATGAACGTAAATGCGAGAGTTCAAACTTCAAAGAACGTACAATAATTATTTCTCGAAGACTGTTTCTATTAATAAAGACGCTTCGCATTTTGTAGACGAGAAATTAAGTGGTACGTTGTTCACACAAGATTTATTGACTAAAATCATGTTATTAGTAGGTATATGGTATATAATTATGATCGTATGATATTTGTTCATCACGTAATAACGTACACCATTCACAATAACGGCGATTCCGATTTACGAAAAGTCTGGGAATATAATAGAATATGCTGTTAAAATAATATGAAAGATGGCCGGCGGTATGCATTTCAAAAAATCGTAATATTATGATAAAACGGTGTTCTGGATAGGCTATTTCGCTACACCGGTGTCGTGGGTGCATCATTCGGTATCTCATAATTGAATATTGATACAATAAATTATATACCTATTACCATTGATTAATGATTAATGATTAATGGCATGGTATAATTAATGTTATTACCTACAACTGTAGTATAATAATAAATTATGAGATACCGGAAAGTGAGTGCATCCCATGACCTTAATGTAGATGCAAATACCATGAAATGCAATTAGATTATTTGAACAATACAATATTATTGTCATGTTATGTGTTTAATAACTATATAATATTATCATAATTAATCATAATAATATTATGTTGACATAACGAATTCGCGATATCTAAACTTTAACAATTCGAAAAAACTCTCTAAGGAATCCTTAGGATCTTAGTATAAATAATGTAAGATTTAAAAAAAAAATTTGTATTATGGCTTAATTTAATTTTTTATGTTACCTTATACCTTATACGTTTGTATTTTATTTTGAAGTATTAAGAACATTAGAATAGATTATAAATACAATTTTTTTTTAAAGCTGTGAACAGTGTGAACTTAAAAAAATATTTTTTATAATAACTAAAATATCTTAAATATTATATTATGTATTTTTATGCGATTTATAATCATTTTTTTAATCTCATTACGTAATACAATGTTTATAAATATATTATGATCTTATGAATAATAATGGTTTTAAAAATATTATTTAGAAGTGTCAATAAGTTAATGAAACTTCGGACAAAAATATTTTTATTTAATTCAATACTTTTAAGTACTAATATTTAAACAATCGCGGACCAAAATAGATTAATTGAAATGTAAGCTGTAGTGTGAATGTGTGGGAGAGGGAGTATACCATTTAAACAGTGAATAATGTATATATTTTTGCCCATTCAACTCATGCACATGTATACAGAGGGAGGTTTAAAGTTCAAACTCCCTCTGAAATGTTTTCAATAGATATTTTTTGCTCGACATCGCCGTTATTAAGATTATTTTCATTTTTTTTTCAACTCTTGAACTCCCCTATCTGATTAGGTTAAGTGCATTGTGTGTATACATGTCTAATGTCTGTATATAAATCATATCACTGACTACTACTGATACACCTCCATACTATTACGGTATACGTATTGCGTCACGACCGGTCCCGATGTGCATGCATAATACATATAATACAATACATATTATAATTTGAAGGGTTGCGCCGAATCTACCAGATCGTCGCAGTGCCGTTCTTCCGAGTTTGAGTGCGACGACCACAGCCACTGCGTCATACAGTCGTGGGTATGCGACGGCAGCGTAGACTGCGCCGACGGATCCGACGAAGCGCCGCACCGGTGCCACAACACCACATGTCGGTCCGACCAGTTCCGTTGTCGGGACAACACGTGCATTCCCGGATTCCTCCATTGTTCCGGTACGCCCGACTGCGCCGACGGTAGCGACGAAGAAAACTGCAGTAAGTCACGTTGTAAAACAACATTTAAATCGCGTCGCATTGCAGGTCTGGTCAATGTTTCTATACTATCCTCACCACGCACCTCCCTCCGTGTTATATTTCCAACTAGACTCTCCACAATAAGAACCGAATGTGGATACATTCAAACTCAATAATAAAATATTTAGAAATCGTGTCAATGGACATAATATTGTCCTGGTCCATTTATTATGAATTTGGATTCCGATAACTTCTTTGAAAATCCGCCCTGTTGCCTAAAATACGAAAAAGGTGTAAAGATGTCTTAACTTAAACTAAAATAAAGTTACTAGAGTTTCGTATACGTAAAGTACGTATATTGCTTATTTTAACTTTGTTGTTCAGATTTTATATTTTACTATTTCAAAAACTATGAAATTCACTGTTGATGATAATAGTAATATATTATATACAATACCTGCACCACTCCGGAATCCCTTGCAAGTGACTTACAACTCGACATACAATAGGATAACACAATAGGTACAATATATTTATATTTTATTTGTCATCTTCTGTTCGGGTTGAACAAAGTGAACATAAAAAAAAAAAAAAAAAAAATACTATACCTATGATGCACATTAAAATATTATATTGTATAAAGATCGCTTTGTGTAGCGGATATGCTCTTGATGAAACGTTTTGTTTGTTTCAAAAATGACAACCTATACCTCGTATGAATATATTGTATGCCTCTGAATCGGACGAGAAAATAATATATATATAATATTTATCCAATATAACAGAGATTAAAATTAGTTTGAGCAATTAATTCAAACTGATTTTTACGAGTGCTTTAATAAAAGTAATTTTAAAAACCATTATATCAAAAAATTATTTATCGAATTAATTTTAAAAATAATAAACTAATTTAAAAACTCGGTTTCCCAGTATATGAATGGTTTGAAATTGATATATGAAAACTATTTTTTTCCGTCATCACTTTACCTGAAATCCATGCCACAACTGATTTGAAAAAAAGATTTTTTATTAAACTTATCTCTCAAAATAGTTTTAGAAATAATTTTTTGTTAAATTAAATTATAAAATGTATTATATTATCAGTTCAATGATTTTAGTCAACCACATCTCTGAATAATATCGTAACCCAAAACTCGAGTAATGCGCTTGAAAAAAAAGCCTAAACGGAATCGGCCGTTATCTATAACAATTATAGGTATACGCTATGAGGAAAATGATGGGTAGGTAAAATCGAAGGTTCATCACGTCGTGTACTTTACTTACAACCACCTGCGGGCTGATCGTAACGCTTTTCTAAAACACATAATCACTTCAATCGGCCTTCGTCGTTTTCAGAAGAACCGGTGCACAAGTGCGACCCGTACACGGAGTTCGACTGCGGCACCGACGAAACGGGTGGCATATGCATACCCATGGAGAAGGTGTGTGACAAGAACATGGACTGTCCCGGGTTCGAGGACGAGGAACAGGAGTCGTGCAACGTGAACGAGTGTCTGATCAACAACGGAGGCTGTACGCAGATTTGCGTCGATTTGCCGCACACTTACCGCTGCGCCTGCAAGCCCGGCTACAAACTCATCAGCAACAACACGTGTGATGGTCAGTATCGTGATTTTTTTATCATAATAATTATTATCGTATTAATATTGTTATTATTATTATTATCGTCGTCGCCCTATGGTATAACGTGAATGGTGAATATAAGCTCACCCCTCGGGTATAATCATCGGCTTATTTATTTATACCTCGAGTGGGGTATAATTTAATTATATAATACGCTCATCCGATATTTTCCACTGTAGGTACTTATTCCTATACCTATTTATTTTCTCTACCCGGCTTGAGTGCAATCGACAGGTGGCCACTCCTAAATATACGCGTTAATACTCGATGCGGCTGAACGTCATCGATTTCTTATACAGATGCTTGCCACGAGAAATCTGATGGCCAGCACGAACAGCGTCAGACGTGGGCAACGGCTACCACCTTTCGGCGGTGCAGTTTTCATTTATTTAGATTTCGCATTAAAAATATAAGTAGATTTCACGATTTCGGGAACTTGCAAGCCGGAGAAGAAAACGAGAGAGGAAATCTCATATTGTTAACAACGTCAATTTTATTATTTGGAATATAAAAACGCTCGATGACAATAAAAATAATTAAAACGGTTAACTATCGATATAGGTACATCATAGGTACTAGGATAATAATATAATAATCGCATAGGTACTTTCGTTTATCTAATAAATGTGCAAATGCAGTATTTTCCTTTGCTGCGGTTCGATTTAGTATCGGATCATATACATTTTTTTTAAATAAAAAAAAACATAATACATAAAACAATATAATTTTACTATGGCGTTTTAAAAAATTGTATAGTTCACAACAATTCTTTTAAAATTATTAGCTATATTATATACTATAAGAGTATTGAATCTAAGTTGGTTAGTATATACTGTGCGAGTGATACGTAGTCTGATTAAAATCAAATTGTATACGAATTTATAACAGTAGAAATGTAGAATATAATTTATATCACCTAAATATTTATACACTGGAGCCTCAATATTTTGATTGCGGCAATGGAAGTCGATAATGCTGTATCGGGCCTATATAGTATATGTATTTAGGTTCATGTTAACAATGCGTGTCAATATGAGTGTTTATATCGGTTTATAACGGAAAAAAAAGTACCTAATAAATAACATAATATACATAATTTTTGATATCGTCCAAACATACGTTATGACAATAATGATATGCTCGTAATGCTCGTAATGAAAATGCTGACGATACCCGTTAGATTAATGTTTGGTTTTTTTACCGGCTCATTTTTTTTTTTTTTTTTACATGTCCGAGATATTGATTTAAACATCAAGCGAAACTGGGTTATCTCTATTTTTGTAAATGAATTTGCGTTACGTGAAATAATATATATTCATAATATTAATTATTAATTTATATAAAGGTCATATGAAAATAAATTATTAATTCTTGTCCCGAATATGCAAAAAATGGAAAATCGGAATTCATTATAATAAATTTAAACTTCAGACCACAATTTCATTTTTTACTGTAAAAGCAAAAATAATAACCATATGCAATATTATAATGATACTGGGGTTTATAGATCCGATACAATATCTATGTTTTATAGTATACCAAAGTGGTAAAGTCGAACCTATACAGTATACACATAATTTATTAGTCTAAACGGTAGGGGCTGTAGGATCGTATTTTTAAGCTGCTGCAACAGTGTGTGAGGTGAAACGCTAAATATTTTTATATCTATCCATAAAAAATCTATTTACTGGAGTGTTTTGTTCATTATTAATCATGCACAATATTACAATTTGCAGACGTAAATGAATGCGAGATCGAAGGCAGCTGTTCACAAATATGTATCAACGAAAAGGGCACGTACAAATGCGAATGCGAACCGGGATACCTGAGGGACCCTCAAGATCACACCAGGTGCAAGGCGATGGAAGGACACGCGTCACTCTTATTCTCTATGCAACACAACATACGGAAGATTTCGTTGGATCATCACGAGATGTCCGCCATCATCAACAGCACGAAATCGGCCACGGCCATCGATTTTGTATTCCGCACCGGAATGATATACTGGGGAGACGTATCCGAAAAGAAAATTTACAAGTAAGTAATATATTGCTATAATATATAGGCTCATACTTTCAGGATATTCTTAAGCCTATTTTCAAATAAACCAGTTCGAAATGCATAGACAATAATACCTATATACTGCACCGGCGTATAAATTAAATAGTCTACAGTTTTTTTGATATTTATGATTGACCAATGCGGTCAGGTATCACTGCAAAAACTATGTATAGTGTATAGCATTAAGTGGTAATAATTTATTGTTTTGTGCGTCTATGTGCGGATTTAATTTGTATTGTGTTTCCCTGCAGAGCGCCGATCGACGAAGGCCGACAGAGGACAATAGTAGTGGAAAGTGGCTTGTCGTCGGCCGACGGTTTGGCTGTGGACTGGATTTACGGACACATTTATTGGACGAACGCGGACAAGGACTCTATCGAATTGGCCAACTTCGAGGGTAACATGCAGAAGACGCTTTTTAAATCGGAACTGAAGGAACCCAGGTCGATAGCCGTGGACCCACTCAACGGGTAATTTACTGCGACAACCACTCCCCCACACCCCGTCTACAAAATAAAAAAACACACAAAATCAAAACCCTAACGCCTCCCGTTTTCATATCGACTGCAGATACCTATAGTCAATAACGTCATAATATTATTATTATTATTAATGCTCAACAAACGCTCGTCCGTTGACAGGTGGTTGTATTGGAGTGACTGGGGCAGCAACGCGAAGATCGAACGGGCCGGCATGGACGGCACGCACCGCGAAGTGATCGCCTCGTTCGACGTGAAATGGCCAAACGGCATCACACTGGACCTGGTGTCCAAACGACTGTACTGGGTGGACGCCAAGCTCCACACCATCTCGTCGTGCAACTTCGACGGCAGCCAACGGCGTCTGGTCCTGTTCAGCCCCGTCTGGCTACCTCACCCGTTCAGCATATCCACGTTCGAGGACTCGCTGTACTGGTCCGATTGGAACCAGAAGGCGATCATCAAGGCCAACAAGTTTAACGGTTCCAACATCACCACGGTCACAGCCCTGCACATGGTATGTACAAACAATATTATTGCATAACAATGTGTCGTTAACATTTTAAAATAATTGTTATTTTTACGACATCGAAATAAACCAAACCGGCATACGATTATCTGTCTCTGCAGCGTATAGTTGCTTTGATTTTCTTAACTGAAACCCACTACGAGGAAATGTATGCAAAGTTTTCCTACACAAGAGCCCGCTATTGGCGCTATAGACGAACATATTATGATATTTTAGTCGGTAATAAAACAGTGACAATAGACTATAATAGTACAAGTGGTTTGAATTTGAGACAGGATCGTCGCAAAATATAGTTGAGATCTACTGCACAATCGTTTAATAATATTGTTATTGTGTTTGTGTTGATATTGTTTTGTTTTTCATCACAGCGGCCAACAGATGTGTTAACTACTACAGTAATTGCTTGTTTTTTTTTTTTTTTTGATCCTACGATAACTGCGTTTTTACTCGGTGGCGTGGCGGACTCAAAATAGCCGTCAAAGCCGAAGACTTCTCGATGAATATCTTTGGTGGGGGTAGTGGTGGGCAGAGTTTCTCTCTTACTGCACGCCCTCCTCTTTCGCATTGGTATTATATATATTTTATACTATAGGTACATAATATACGTATCACGACCACCGCTCAAAAGTAGATAGTAGAGGTACTCTCTTGCAAATGTCGCGACCTTGAATCGCATGCGCGTATTATTTATATAGGTACGACCGCCGCGGTGACCTTTGACGTATTAAAACGACGGTTATCATATATGTGTGTAATGTGACTGCTAACAGTAATACTATAAACATTTTGGCCGTTTCAGACTCAGAACCCGATGGTGGTGCACGTTTACCACCCGTACAGGCAACCCGACGGAGTGAACTACTGCGCCGCCGTCAACGGCCACTGTTCCCATCTGTGCCTGCCGGCACCGCAAATCAACAGCAAGTCGCCGAAAATCTCGTGCGCTTGTCCCAACGGCCTGATGCTGATGTCCGACGGTCTGATGTGCGCCGAAGAAGGTAAGCGCCGCCATTTATATATATAATTACATAATATTTTTTAACATAATTTGTACTACTCGCGATGCGACATAAGTAAATATATATTCATAATATATTATTCGTCGCACCGTATACACACGCAGTTCTGCGGCCGCCCAGAGCGCGGTTACGGTAATGTTTTTTTCAACCATATATTTTTATTATATTTTTATTATATTTTATACCTTTTTTGCAACACTATACCTAATCCTAATAATACTTGATTGATTTTTTCTTCCGAGTGGACATTGTTGTGATGATAATATTATTAGTTATTATTACGTTTTGTATTTTGATCGTTTTTTATTTTTTGTCTTTGTTTTTCACCGTCTTTTGTTTTTTTGGTTGAATAATTTTACAGCTAAGAACTCAACGGTTTTACCGAAACACCACAAACACAGACATTATAAAAAATTCAATATTACGCTATTAAGTGAGTACATATATCAATATCCGTGGACGAAACCTGTGTACATATTTATGTATATCTTCTTCTTTCTTCTGTGCAAAACTTCTATTATAATAATATAATATGTATACCTATATATACTACAGGAATGAGCAAAATATTTTACTATTCATTTATCAAATATAAAATAAATACATATTATCCCATGTGTCTAAAATACTACAAATATATATTTCCAAAAAAAAAAATTAAATAACTACGTACACTCAATTAAATAAAAAATAATTTTAGGTTTTTATAAGATGGGTGCCATAAAACAAAAACAATTCTTTAACAAAATAAAAAAAGTTTACCATTACAACTTCAAAAAAAAAGATTTAATTTGAAAACATTGTATTTATTAATTGCATATGCTACCATTATAGACTAAGACAGTAAAGAAATTATTTATAGATACATATTATTGGGTATTGTAAAATCATTTTTAAAAAAATGAAAATTTTTAAATGCAAATTTACGTCTTTAATTTGTAAAGTGTATTTAAAATACTTTATTTGCTCATCCCTGTATAATGTATAAATACATATTATACGTTATAATATACACACGCTTGCGGTGGTTGGTTATATCTTGTACATTTTTGTGTTCTCTTCGCCTGTCTCTATACATTATAATATACGCGTATCACGTCGTTTTTCTCGTTTACCACTTAAAAATATTACATTTTTATTACCTATAATGTGTTTACTGTCCGGTTAAAACGAAACCGATGGCATTGAGGGAGAACGCGGATCGAAATAAATTCGTATACATATTATATAATATTGTACTATAACGTCGCGTCGCGCCCCGTCGGTGGGTTTAGGTTTTCTCAATAAATTTTAAATCGGAAATTGAACGGCCGAAAGTGTTTTGTATACGCTTTTTCGCAGCTGCTAAAAGTTTGCCACATCAATGCAATTGTGAAAAAAAAAACTTTATATTTTCCTCCTAACCAAATACGTGACAATAATAACTGCAGACTATACACCACAGTACCCACCACTATATATTATTAAACTGATCAATATGCGGCAATATTGCTGTGGGTTTTGTTTTATGAGTTTCGTAGGATATATACCTATTATACCTATTTAGCTCTCTGTCGGTACACACCTTCGCGAACAATCAGAAAACTTTGCGGGGTCGCGAGAAAGTAATAAATGCGTGTTAAGATCTCGTGATCTCTCTCAACGTTAAGCCTTATTTATTTTCATCACCCCGAGGGTCATTTTATTTTTCCGTTAAAATAAAAAAGAAACTATATTCTTTTTGCGTTTAAAGAATTCACTTAAAACTTTGCACTTTAAAAAGATAACTTTGAAATATTTGAAAAGTATATGTTTATTGTGCAGTAATATATTATAATTTAGGATGTTAAATAAGTGAATTCCATCTGGATGATTTGTTGTTCAATAATTTACATGTTATTAGCATCGATATTTTTTTCCCCTTTGCGACTGACTTTGGCTTTCATAAAAAGAAATCTTTTCCATATTATTATTATTATTATAATTCAACACAAACTTCACATTCAACCACAATTCAAAAATAATTTATTTCAACTTTTAAGTCAAGAATCCAATATGATATCCAATTACAAAAATATAAGCGGATTTATTGAAATGTAGGATAAAATAAAACATCAACCGTAAAGGATTTCATTATTCTTCATTGGGCATAAAGAATTCTATACTCATACGTGAATCGAACATATATTTATAACATTTGATTGATTGGGTTGGATCGTAGGTACGCTATATATAGGTTTAATCTGCTCGGCGATAGTTGAAAAACAAAAAACATTTAGGATCGAATGGCTGGGAAAATGGCAAATGCTGTACCTATATAGGTAGGTAGGTACAATTTTTTTGAAAACCTACCGAGAAAATCATATTACTGTCCTCACGCAAGCGCTAAAATACGATTATTAAGAATGTAATTATTAATTACCACGTGGACCACTAAATATCTCCTTGCTCTGCGCACATATTAAATATTTTAATATAATAATATTATATCATGGTACTACCTAGTACCTACCTACCTACTTTAAATTGAACCAGCAGGCTACAGCAAGGACGAAAATTCACATGCACACGGTTAACACGCTATTTTAATACGTCGTATTTAGTTGTATTTACCACGTACATGTTATAATTCTTAAGTTCACACAATAATTATAATAATGTTATATTTTAGTATAACTATACTACAATGGTCATGTAACTATATAAATACTATCGTGCGAACTGAATCGAACACGCAATATATAATATTATTATGTATAATATACAGGACGTGACAGTCAAAATAATAATAACAGTCTCCCTAATAATTATTTATATAATTAATAATAAGCTAATATAACAATCACTCTGAATTTGCAATCAACTTGATAAGTATAATTAACCATATGTTTATTCACTGGTACCTACATATTTGTTTAGCTTCAAAACAGATTTTTTGAGGGGGCTAGGCCCCTCCCCCGAGCCCCCACCTATTTGCGCTACTGCAGTGTAGGTATCGAATCTGACGTCGTTTGGCTTTATTCAGCGCGTCCTGTGTATAAAATATAGTATAAATAATATTATACACTTTTAAAAATAATAACAACATATATAATGTATAATGTATAGTATAATACGACGTCACAGACCATAGTACGCACTTCTGAAAATGCATGAGCACGCACAGCACCTATATGCATAAGTTATAATACACGTCGCACGCATTGTACCGAAATAGAAACCGAATGGCGCCTCTGCAATGTCATTTGTCCGAGCGTCTCACCGCCAGCTCCCAAAACGGTCCAAGAGACGCTGACTAGATAATATATATATGAAATAATAATATTATTATTGTGGGTTATTTTTCGTTAAATTGCTCGCTGTATGCACGATGGATAATATTATATCAAATAATATTATATTATATACTTACGCGTTTCTGCAGGTGGTGGTGCATTAGTAGAACTAAGCATAATAATAATACGCGTATGGTATATAATATAATATTATTATATAGTATATAATATCGTGTGTAACCGCAGACGTCCTCAGTCGTATATAATATATTTCAATAATAATATAATATACTTATTTCCTACGCACATATTTTGTGCTCGTACCGGCCGCGGCGATATATATAATTTATTCGGAATATAGGTAGGTATAGGTTTTATGCGTTACCTATTCAAAAACATCTGCAACAGAGAGAGAGAGAAACACGTAGAGACTATATTAGTATAATATTACATTATTATTTGCCCTTGGAATCAGCATCGGGAAGTAAAATAATAAAAATCGAACGCTCGCGCGGGAGTCCTTGACGAGGCTGATGCGGCGCGCTCGTGTGCAGTATAATATATTATATTATGCGATATTATTATATGAATATTGTCGTGTGTCTTACTCGTTATATATACGCGAGCCTCGCCCGCAGTTGGTGTATTCTTTCCGTCCGAGTCGCGGTGTGCGCATAACGAAATCATCGTCAACAATACATTATTATTGTACATTGTAATATTATAATAATCCGTCTGTCGGGAGATCTATTTCGTTTGGTTTTTGAGTGATATACCCGCGCGTAATAACGGCAACGACGACAACAATAACACTAAAATAATAACAACATTGTAATATAACTTCGATAGTATTATAAATTATTATTATATCCTACGATATAATATAAGGTATAAAGTTTTTTTTTTTTGCATTGGTATACTGTTTCCGTCGTTTGCGGCGAAAAAACAAAAAAAAAAAAGGTAAGTACCTGAGTGCTTTTATACAATACGCAGAGTCTCGTCCTTTATATGGGCGGCTTTTCATCGTCGTCGGCTGTACGTATAATATGGTATTTGTATAAGTATTTTGTGTATTATACGTCAAGACGCTAGGCCTGCGGAGGCATTTTGTACATTTATTTTTCACCGAGTCCAAAACGCGCGAGTCCCGTCATCGGAAATCCTCTATAATATGATGCCGATCAGAGATTTCTCGCATGTCGTATACTATACACCATACACTTATATCCAGGGCTCGGAAGTTGTGGCAAATGCATATTTTTTTTGGTTTGTCCTAGAACACCCAAAGTAAGATACAAATATGTTTCACACTTATCTGATATCATACACGAAATTTTATTTTGCCATTTTTTGAATATTTGTGATTTTTATTGCTATTTTGCCATTTTAAGGTTTTTAGTGCTATTTTTGGGTATATTATCAGATAATTTGGAAAATAACCACATTTAGTTGAAAATAATGATTTTATTTGGTTATATTTTTAAAAATATTCAAATTATTGGAAATAAAGCGAATAATATTTCATGTTTTTACCATTCTACAATTATTTATTCATCGACGGTCCTATGTATTAATAGTTCGTGACGTCAGTGTTATTCCCTTATTGTATCATTGCAATAGATTATCAATACAATTAAATACGATTACAGATATGTCTGTATAGTATATACTTTATCCTTTATAGTTTTAATTTTAGTACTCCCGATTCCGCCGTTCTCGAACTTTGTCGTCGTGAAATAAATCGTAAATCTAAATACGTATTTTAATATCAATTAAAAATGCCTAAAGAAAAAAAAACATTATTAAATCGCCTTTGTTGTTATGTTGATGAATTTTTTTCCGATATTTTTAAAATTGATTCGAGTATTTTATTTTGTAAAATTTGTGAAACAAAAGTAAATTCTGATAAAAAATATAACGTGTCTCAACATTTAAAAACTGACAAACATCTCAAGGGCATTAATCGATGTAAAGAACAAACACAAATAAAACAACAACAATTAATGGCTGTTAATATCTCTAAAAAATCATCATTTAATAAAGATTTGTGTGAAGCTCTAATTTCCGCAAACATTCCGTTAAATAAACTATCAAACCCACATTTAATTTTTTTTTTGTAATAAATTTATAATTATAATTTTTTCAAGTTAAATGCATATTTTTTGATTTTTCGTGCTATTTATAGCGCATATTTTGGAGTTTTTTAGTGCTTATTTAGGAGCTAAAAATTACCATTTTTAGTGCCACAACTTCCGAGCCCTGCTTATATCTATTGTATTCAATATACATATCATGGTTATATCCTTATGGGCCCTATATAGAACATATTGTTTTATTAATATAATATTTTATTTTTATAATGCAAATGCGATCAATTTTATGCAGATCATATTGTTTTATTATAATATACAAATGCAATCAGTTTTATGCAATTCCTGCCTCTTATAATATACGACTGCTGACGATATAGACCAGTAAATTATATTAATTTACTTCGATCTGTTATAATTATTTATATTATGTTCCAATATACGTGTCCGTCGTCTTCGCGGCTGCTTTAGTGCACTATTTAATATTATACTTATAATATTTCTATTATTATTTATGCGTTTCTTTTGGTGGCGGTGCAGGTCATATAATATATTTTACAATATATTTGCTGACTTATTATATATATATATATGTATTTGTATACACTATACATGTGTTAAAATATCATCATGTTTGCGATTCCCCGCACGTCCATTGGCAATACGTCCTAACGCCCGTTCGCTCTCGTTGCAGATACGAACAGAACGATGACGGAAATAAACGTCAACGACCACAACGAACCTGAGGACAGCGGACTCATAGCCGCCATAATAATATTCTCCGGTTCACTATTGATCACTCTCGCAGCCCTGGTAAGTGAGCCCAAATCCCACCCAACAACCACCCCCCCCCCCCGGACCGTCAGGTGGTGTATCACGATACTTTGGCTATTTATACGGATACCGCGGTATACGAGCCGCATGTCATCACTTGACGTAACGTCTAATGAGCTCTAATGTATGCTCGGTTTGCAAATTTTGTTCCAGGGCGCTTTCCTGTTGTACCGGCACTACTTGCACCGCAATGTGACCAGCATGAACTTCGACAACCCCATCTACAGGAAAACAACCGAAGACCAGTTCACGCTGGAGAAGAGTCAGTACCAGCCGGCGAGGGTATACCCCACGTCCGTCGGCGAGGAGGTAAACTTCAACGTTATCATTTAAAGACCCGAAAACACCTCCCCTTCACCCACGACCCATCACCCCCCCCCCCCCCACCGCAATGGACCCCACACAACCACTACCGCCAGAAAATCCCAGCCAAGTACCTATATAATATTATTATGTATTATCGTCGATGCAACGCCGTTAAGCTACATTCGATCTTTTCTGCTCTTAATTTTTTTGCATTTTTACACGCTGCGTGTTAGTTCTTTAACGACAACTCGGTAAGTCCACCGAACAATAATATTAAAATGTGATGTTAAAAATGTACACGACTCATTCATTCAAATTATAGTACTATTTAGTAGTAGTAGTAGTATAGTAATAGTGTCAACTCACACGTGCAATTTTTATATTTACATAACATACGCGACAAGCGTGATGATGGTGTTCATGATACCTGCCTACGCGTTGTTTATTTGATTTGTGTATTATTATTTTTTTCAGGCCGAAGAGCCGTTGACTCGTCCTGGCACCAACGAGTACGTCTAAAGTATAGACCGTTTATAGTTTCTCTGCACACAACACTAGTCAATGAAAAAATAAAAATAAACAAATTACAAATCCCGTTGTTCACGACGGAGCGCAGTTTGTGCGCAGCCCACGACGAAATGTCTGGCGAGTTACCAATTTCATGCGCAAATGCGTTCAAATAGTGTTCAACTTACCGAACGACTTATAATATCTTCCCCGTGTTTTTTCTTTCTTTTATTATTATTTTTATTATTATTATTAATTTTATGTTGTATAACTTTGTTCAGAGTCTTCCCAGCGTTTTTCGTATACATGTAATAATTTAATTATTCCTCACGCCAATATTTAAACGAAACAGTTCCTATTGTATATTTTTTTTTAAGTTATATTATTAATGTTTGTGTAAAAAAGAAAATAATAATATTTTATTTAAGCTATGCGGTTTGCCTTTAACGACTGAGGTGTACGTGCCAAAAATTATGAATTGAGTTGTTTTAAATTTATTATTGTTTGTTGCTCAAAAGTAGGAATCCTTTGATCTGCATCAGTTCGCTCGTTGTTCAATTATTTTAATCGGTAAATTATTGTCCCTTCTGGTTTGTTTGGAAAAGTAATATGATATAATTATTGTAATTATAAGGAATTTACAATATATGTAAATATATATATTTATTTTAGCGCCATTACTGTTGAGTAGTCAATTTAGCAGCTAATTATATTTAATTATATATACTATAGTTCCGTTATATATATTGAAGATATTTTGTAAGCTTAACGTCTTATTATATATCAAACAAATCGTGTTTTTAATTGGATATTATATAAAAAATAATTAATTATATATGTACATATAAAGGAACCAGTTATAAGCTTAGCAGATAGTGATAAGCGTATTGGATTTGTTTCATTCGAAAACTGTATATTGTTTTTTCGCTAAAAAAACGCACATTCTTCTAACGAATGTGTACACAAACACACACTCGCATCTCGGTTTAAAAATATATGTTGTGAAAACCAATTACCATTTATTTGTCATCAAGGTTGTAAAAATATGATAAACATAATATGTATGTGTAACATTTCGTTAGATAAATATAGTTTTTATTATTTAACTGTGATTTTTTTGTTTTTAAATATATTTAATTAATTATTATACGATTACATAATATACATATTAGTGAGTCCCATTTTGTAAACTCAAACACATAGTGAAAAGTGGTTTGTTAATTTTTTTTTTTTTAATTAATCGATGGATAAACAAAAAAAAACTAAATAAACATGATCGATCATTATACAGTGTATAGTCTTATATATTATTATCGTAAGCATACCTATTGTATCTATACAACCCAATATGCTCCACCGCATACGCTTTATAGGAACCTACTTATATTATCGTCGCACTCGCAGATACGTATAAGGTATATTGTTCAGGTATAATATAGCCGGTACTGTGTGATACATGGCAGCTGATATCGGAGTTTCACGTTTATGGAAAAAATTTCACGCCCGACCCTCCGTCCAGCGTAAGTATTTCCGCCTGTTGACGTCGCTCCAACACCCGCAAAGCTTTGGTCAGTACACCGTCGTCAATACCATTCAGATCTATAAAATTGTCGACACAAAAAAAAAAAATTAAACGAATACTTTGACGGACAACGAACAACCGCATGCAAATTGCAAAATACTATAACAGATCCCACTGTCTAAGGTGGTTACTTGCAGGTAAATATTACGTTTGATTGTGAGACTGAGACATTTTACTTTCGTTTCGCCACTGTATAATATATACATATCTACATTTTCAAACGTGTTCATTGCATACGTCCAAAAAAGTCTTTAACTTAGCGTTATGACAGTGGCGTAATTAGGAATTTGTCTTGTGATACATTTTTTACATACAAAATACTAAATTTTCAAGTACAGTGGCGAGTGGTTTGTATATATTATGAAGGCTCTGGGGGGGGGGGGGGGTACATTACTATTATCATCCCCTTGATTACCCGGCGTTATAATATAATATATTATAATGTATAATATTATCTCAGATTTGATTTAGGTACAGCTAAGACTAACCCCGCGCTTCCCTAAATTTCAAAAACAGATTGTTTGATTATAATATTATATTACCGCCACTGTCGCTGGCTATCTCGTAGAACGTGCACACCGTGTTGAGCATGGCGTTGTCCTGGGCCCATTTGTACACTATCGACGCCCATTCATCCAACGTGTGCCAATAAACATTCCACCTAAAAATTACATGTTTTATTTTAAACAAACGACATATTATATTCACTCCACAAAGTATCAACACACCTGATTATAATTTAATAACATGTGAGTATATTTAGTAGGTACTTATATGGACAAGACTAGTCCGACAATTCGACTTTCGACTCCTAAAAGTCTAAACAGCAGGCATTTGTATTGCTGCGCGAGTGTAATTCCAACGCGTGTGTTATCGTGTCACGATGATTTGGAATTTCAAGAATTTCGTATAACGACTCTAGCCGAGAGACCGGCCAAAAAATTCTAACGCATGAATAATCGAGTTCTCAAAAGGTCTCATTTCGGATTTTATTTTCGTCAAACTTTCTAGACATAATCCATGAAGGATAGGCAGGTACCTACAGTAACATATTAGTAGACCAATATACATATTATAGAGTCACTCAGTCACACACTCACACTGTCATAGATAATTTATTATACATATACGCGTATGCATTTAAATACACAGTATGAATCAAGCAAACCAGCGAATATTAATCTATTACTAATATATGGGCTCGGAATGGAAGTAAAGTTGTGCACGATAAACCGGTCTGTTCTCAAAAAATAAAAGCAAAACGTCATTCTAAGTTTTTCTAACTTGTTTGTCCGTACAAGTGCGTAGGGATCACCATACTGTGTAATATAATTTATTAATGTTAATATTAAAATCTTAGTACCTTGTTCTAGTCTTGTCAAGTGGTTCGGCATTTCCCGTCTTCTGTAGAACGCCTAAAACCGTCATGATCGCATCAGGTGACAGTTTTCCTGAAGACGAAAAATACTTTTTATTAATATATAATATTATATTATCATAATAATTCAGCTTTATGATTTGCCAACATTTTATAGCCTTCCACGCGATCATATCGATTATTTCAGTTATTAGTGTTAGGTATTAAAGATAAAAAACAAAACATTTCTGACAAATTTGTTATGAACTGGCGAAGATAAAATAAAAGGCCAGTAAATTATGGTAAAGAATATTATGGGTGTTACTGAAATATAATTATATTACTTTTGTCGCATATTTTAAGGAGGTACCTACATCGTACACAACCGGGGTTTGTTAGAAATACGACTCATTCGATCGAATGGATAGAAATATTATATAATGAGTACCAATTCGAAAATATTTTTAATTGATTTATATTTTCGTAGTAAAATATGAATAAAATGGTGTACTCACAATTAATTGGTTTGAAGCAACATTAACTTGATAAATATTTTCTATTAGAAAATTCAAAATTGAGTCAATAGAGTTAATTGCTTAATACAGAGTGCAGCCAATGATTTCAATCAGATTTAAGAGCTTTGATATTATACAATATATTAATATATAAATACTTAACAAAAAAAGAGCGCTGTAGAAATATAAACAAAACATAAGTTCATTGAAAAAAATACTGTTCTAATATATTTTTCAACTGTGTGAAGAGAATCTCTTTCATATATATATAATAATAAAAGTACAAGCTGAATTACACTTAAAATCGATTTCCTTCTATTTTTATACTTCAGTGTCAAATACACGAATGATGATGATTTAGATATCATATAAAACATAATAATATCATGTTTTTTGTACAGTACAAAATACATTGTACAACAGGCAACATTTTCCTTAAGTTAGTATATTACTTACTGTTAAAAAAATAGTTGGAGAAAACTTAAGCAAATTCCTACGAGATGAAAGCTATATGCACTATGCAGGTAGACGTGATCGTTTTGAAGCGTATCTAATACCTATATATATATATATATTATATATGTAACAAATAATTTTGTAATGACTGCCGAGTGGCTAAGTAACAGTATAACGTACAACAAAAATTAATAACATACGAAAATATAATCAAAACACTAATTAAAATATAATGTATGCACTTAAAATAATGGTTATTATCTACTTTTCATAGGTAGGTGTATGGAAAACAGATTTAACGCAAGAACTCCAAATGAATGAATGATGAAATAAAGAGTGTATGAACATTATTGTATTATATAGGTTATATTTATAATTTATAAGTACGAGTATATTAATGAGCCAACGCGGATAAACTTATATTCAATTATTTAATGATAATTTTTTTGAGAAAACCAATACAAAACATGAAAATTATAATTACTTAGGTAGTTAGATAAAAACAAGAGGCGCGGGCTGCAATTTCTTATATTGTTGTATTACATATTTATATATGATTTAAGAGCCGATTAATTCATGTCTAGATGTATTCGGTATTTACTTAAGTTGATCATCGCTAATTTAAGAATGCAGAACTTGTTTGAAACGATAAAATAATATTTCAACTATTTTCACATTTCAGACAAATTTCATTGAAAAAGGACATTGATATTAATGTATTATTATGAGCAAACCAAAGTTACTAATTTCTAACAGAAAAAAAGTAAAATATTTTGTTTGATTTCAAGTAATACCTACTTACTGCATCTGCCTATTGTTCTATACTACTGGCTACTATCATTGTTGTTGACACAATATTGTAATGGATGAAGTCAAAATTATTCCTGTATACTTACCTATTTCATACAATATGCATATTATATAAAGGATAAACATAATACCTATTTTGTAATAATAAGTACCGGATAGTACCTAAGTATATAATATTATATTATACCAGGGACGGAAACCGAACCTAAAAGAACCGGTTCGGGAACCGGAACCTTCAACATTTTAAGAACCGGAACCTTTATTTTAATATATAAAGTACCGGAACCGAACCAGAATTTTTATATTATATAGGTTCTTTTAGGTTCTAAAATATAATAATTTTATTTATTTATTTTTATTAGATAAAAAATAGAGTATTTATAATTTGTAATATAATACAATACAATAAGTATTTTTTTTTTTTTTTTTATTGATCTTTAAAGCCCGGCGACTATGGGCATTAGCTAGTTGCAAAAACGTTGTCAGTTATTTTTATTAAGCAACATGCATAACATTTTTTAGAGTTCTCAGATGTTCACTTATCACAAAAATTTTAGGTCAATATTACCATTGAGTATAGATAGTATAGAGAAACAGTGCTCGATATTTTATGCTACGCTAGATTAGTTCAATGTCGCTGGCAATAGAGCGCGCTACCAGTAATTAACAATATTACTTTATTTTTTAATAGGTGCAGTAAAATAATAATAATAATAAAATTACTTTTATAATATTATTGTTTTACATAATAATTTATTTGACGAGCTAGACGCAACTGCTCATCACTTGACGTTGCCAAATCGAACGATGACATGTTGCCATTTACAGTCGTCTTAATGCCATAAAATACATACCCAAATAAATTAAATTTTTAGTGATGGCTCAATAATAATAATATTGTTATTTTATTATTTATAAATATATTGTTTGGATGGGTGACCATCTAAACATTTTTCTGACATTGTAGAAAATCGGCTTTTTGTCAATACAATTTTTTAAAAATTAATGTTCGTATTTGATTTTAACTACTAATTAAAAACACATTTTTTTTTGGATGGGTGACCGTCTCAAAAACTGAAAATCGACATTATTTAAAACATTTTATTTTAATGATTATCTTATTAAAATTATAAGACTTTGAGTGTAAGTAACATTATGTAATAATACAGTGTACTTTTTCGTGGATGGGTGCCCGCTTTCAAAAATATTTTTACGATTTTCAAGAATCTGTTTAGTGGAAAACAGTTATACTTATATTTTTATTCATATTCGGTTAGTTTAGATTGAACCTACTTAAACTCATTATTTATTGTTTTGGATGGGTGACCACTTCTAGACTGGTTTTAAAAATTGGCAAATTAAAACTGTGTTTCCTAAATATAATTTTCTTCTTATTCGATTTATGAATATATTTATATTCAAATTTCAAATGAATTTTTTTTTTGGATGGGTGACCGTTTTAAAAGATCATAACTTACGATTTTCAGTTGTTTTTAAAATAACAATTTTATTTGTACATCTATTTTGTATTCATATTCGGTTAGTTTAGATCGAACCCACTTAAATTCATTATTTATTTTTTTGGATGGGTGACCACATCATCACAAGTTCTAAAATTTTGAATCAAGTACATATATTTTATCTTATAATCTTGACCTTTTTCGCTTTTGTATTTATATTCAAAATGATTTATATAATATTTTTATTTTGGTGGGTTGTTTTAGAGTACCTAACACCAAAAACCAAAATCGATTTTGTCAAAACCGATTATGCGTAAAAATTCACGTTTTTCTTTCATTTTTATTTTGTTTTTCCTTGCGCTTTTAAAAACTATTGGTAATTTTAAATTTTGACTATATCAAAAAATCGAAGCAGATTAACTGCCCAAAACGGTGATGGCACACACACAAAATAAGATAAATAAAGATAATAAATATAATATTAAATTATAAAGATGTATTAATTATTAATTATAAATTATATATGTAGATAATAAGGTGGTATTGTCACAACCAAGTAAATTTAACTTAAATAATTTAGGTATACATATTATAGTAAGTATGTACCTACTTGAAATTAAATTTGTATAAAATGTATTAATAAAATCGAATAAAGTAATTAATAAAATATATCTATATGTATAAAAATATGATATGTAAATTTAAAATAATTTTGAAACTGAAGTAGAGTTTAAATGAAAATTTAATGAATTAAATTATTTTTTTAACAAATGTCAATACCTAAATGTAAAATATAATATACATTTACTATAAACCTAATTTGCAATTTAAAAGGTTTAATATTTAAGAAATAAAATAACCTGTTACATTTATGTTAATTATTTATAAGTTCTGAATATTCCTGAGTTTAGCATTTGGCTTATTTGTACCATTATATATGGAGGTTCTATTGTTATTTCTTGTCCATTTACATTCTTTGTGAATTCTTACTACAAATAACAATTTCATTATATATTTATAATGTGTTGAACATTCATCTTGGATGTTGATATTGGAGCAGCGTGTTATATTTGTGGTTGCAAAATCAATTAATTTGCTCAATAGATTACTGTGACTTTTAAAAATAGGAAATTTGGTCTTAAATGTATCTAGACATATTTTAGTGAATAATTCTAACTGTTTTGATGGTACTTTTAATCCTTTATCAATATCAAAGTTTACATTGTATGTTTTATGAACTAACAAAAGTTGATTCTTGTCATTCAACATTTTGTCAGGGTGTAATAATGTTGTGTGACACTTTTCACAGTCAAATTTTTTCAAACACTTCATTGCTAAATATCCTGCATAATAAATAACGGCACATTCTTCTAAACTACCACCCTCATTATTACGTTCATACTCCAAATCCAAATCATATATTTCACTGTCTTCATCTACCTCAATTTCTTTGACTAAATCAACTTCTGTTGATTTATTTTCATCAACTGTATCTAAAAATTCTAATTCCACCGATGGAGAAGGTGTATTTGATAATATATTCGGTGTTAAAAATGTATCATTATCTTCCTCGCAATTAGACTTTTCTGAAGTACAGTTTAATAAGCTAAATGAACATATACTTGAAAATCCACATCTAAAGGTCCTGCAGGTGGGATTTTTGTTATAGCCGCATTTTTGCCTAAAAATAGAAAATAAATTTTCAAGAGCATCCTGACAAAGCCGATTAGTGATCAAGAAGAATTGTCCCATTTCATTTTTTTCTGATTCATACAGTTGTAAAACGGCATTAATTGTCCAAACAAAACCTATAAAACATGGTGGATTATT